TTTTAAAACTAATCAGCCATATCACTCTTCGAACTATTTAGACACTTAAAAAACACCATTTACTTCCCCTTGAATTAAGACGTGAAATAGCAGATATAAACTATCTTATTAAAATTACCACCAACATAATTGATTGCCCCGAGCTTCTATCTGAAATTTACTTAAAGGTCCCGACTAAACATTTACGCAATGAATCAATTATTTATTTGCCTGTAGCTTTACAAAATTACAAACGCAATTCGTTTATATGGCGTGCGAGCAAAAACTTTAACAAACTTTCTGCCATTTACGATTTTGACTTATTTAACACTAGCTGTGCGTGTGTTAGGAAACATTTAACTAATTCATTTTTATGAATACAGTGAGTTGGCGGGTTTGAGTGGTGATACATTATTTGTATAGTGTGAAGAGTATGTGTGTGTGTGTGTTATGTTATATTTATATTGTTAATGTTATATTGTCTTACTGTTATCAATGCATCAAATATTATTGTATTTTTATCAGTAGGGAACTGCTTTGCTTCAAATTATTTAATTAAGTCTCTATTTTATTGTAATATAAGCTGTTTGTGCCCTGCAAAATATAAATAAATAAATAAATAGTTTTTAATTTACATAAAATCAACTAGAAGCAAAACTGAATACTCTAAAACTCTACCTGGTTAAATATTATATCGAGAATGAAGCGACGAAATATAATAGATCATCAAACGAACTTCTTGAAGTTGAAGTTCGTTCACTATTATGTGAGTCGCTTCATTCGAAGATATAATCAACACCCTCCCTTGACATCGTCATATCAGAAGTGAAGATTCTGAAACTCCCAAATAAGTTTTGCTTCCCACTCTACAAGGAATGAGGATAGAAAATGGCGATTGACGCCTGGTAGGGAGTGTCAACGTCAAAACATTTCTTTTTTCTCTAAAAACAAGCAAGTTAAGGAAACTACCTGGTTAAATATTATATCTTCGAATGAAGCGACTCAAATAATAGTGATCGAACTTCACTTCAAGAAGTTCGTTTGATCATCTATTATTACGCGTTGTTTTGTTTATTATCAGAGAAACGATTTACTAAACTATCTACGAACAAATCGCAATAACTAGTTTGACGGTTTCTTTGTTTACAAACGTTGCGAGACGTTTCTGAGAAACAAAATGTTCGTTGGCAGGGTTGCAATATGAAAACAAGGAGTGAAGTTAAATTTAACCGGAGTGTATATATTAAAATTATCATTTCCTAAGTTTAACGACGTTTGACGTTTAGACGAGATGGCTCTAGATTCCACACAAATTTGATGCGAAATGTATTCCATAGCATTTAAGTTTATTAGAATAGAACAATCCCAAAAATTTCTTGCTCGTTCTTCTCAGGGAAGTCAACGTACGTTCTTCTCAGGGAAGTCAACGTAGTGAATAAGTAGTGAACGAGTCATGGCAAAATATGCTCTATTTGTGTAGCTTCTACGTTTTAACTTAAATGAGCGTCCCGGGCACGCAGGCGAGCGTGGTTTGAATTTGGTCTACGCGGTTGTATTATTCAGATGAATTTAAATTTTGTTGCCTAGTAAATAGAATGTAGAGAATGTACATGAAGGCGTGGTAACTGGGCGGTCGCCGCGAGAAAACTTTCGCCTCTTGTAATTGGGCGCTTAAAGATGGCGTGACTCAAAAAATAAAAAAAATCAAGTACAAAAAATGTCATGTTGAATAACTCACTGTCTTGTAGAAAATGTATTATCTCGGTACAACCCGCTTTTCCATCTTGTACCAATTTTTCACACTTGCCATCGATAATATTCGCTGAAATTGTGAAAATGTTAAACAGATATACCAGATTACAAGAAAATTCGTCTTCAGAGTTGTCCACAATCAATGCAGATCTGTGGATCTTGGATGCTCATGCAGCTTTCAATAAAAATAGATTAGATCCAGTGAAATTCAGTACTATCTAGACTCAAGATGAGTCACCGGACGAGAGGGGGAGAAACTTTTTCGCTGGATCGAATGGTTTGAAGAACGTGATTTGTTACTCAAAACAATGTACTTTATTCGATTATATAAAATCCTGAAAACAGGCTAAAGTACAAGACAAATGATTTAAGAATAAAATATCTAACTTTGTACATAATTATTAATACAAAGATCGAACACTCAGAATGAATTTCTTCGATCCGGCCGGATTCGAACCGACGTCTTCTAGCATACCGTGGCAGACGCTATACCAACTAAGCCACGGAACAAACCAGCGGACCTCACGAATTTTTCTGTATTACAGAGAACCTGCTAAATTTTGGTTTTCAACTGGAGCCCTATTTTAGTTATTATATTCTCATTTATCCTTAAACTTGAAAATTGCCTAAAGGTCAAAGGTTCAAATGAACGCCATGCTCTGTGGCCACGCCACCCAATTTTTTTATAATTATTATAATACCCATGTAATGTACGACTGACGTACATGACGTACATGCAATTTTTGTGAACGGATTCGAAACTAACTTAGTGCACACGTGTAACGCGCTTATAGTTTAAAATATCATTTGCAATAACGCTGTTTAGGTAAAAATGTAACTAAAGATAAATAGGCGGTCATGGCTCGATATGATTCGTTTTGGCGATGACTTCCATATCGTCGGAGATAGTGCAATTACGCGTAACTAGCATTTGATTATGAGTCTTCATTCCGGTAGTTTTGTATCCAAATCAAATTCGCATAAATGTCGTGGCAACCAAATTAGCGTGATTTACGAGAATCTATTATTATCAATCCGTAGACAATATAAATTAATGCTTAATGTGCAAAAATTGAAGATGTAGCCATTAAAAGAACAAAGTAATAACGTTAAATCCCTCTCCTGCGTAGTTTTGGTTTAGTACAGATACGCGTTTTTTTACCAATACTACATACGCGGATTTGTACTATACACGACGATATGCGTTAAAGTTATCGTTGAGGAGACCACGATAACGAATACAGCGAAAGCGGATCGGCCTTTCTCACATTTGGTGTTCTCAGCCTAATTACCGTAGCCGTTTCGGTGTCCTCAGCCTAATTACCGTAGCCATTGCTTTTTCTCGCTTAATATACCCAGTAACATTGAAATATGAACAACTTTAAGCTTAACTATCAATATCTCTAAATGGTATGAAAAAAAAATAAAAAAAAAGTTTTTAAGTTATTATGACACGAACATTTATGGAAACAGTAATTAGATCTTTAGATCTTTGATTTAAAATTTTATTCACTTTTTGCAATGAATTGCACCGATTGAAAATACATTTTCTTTTTAATTTTTAAGGCTTTTTATCGGCAGAAATAAATAAAATGTAAATTATTATACTGTTCTTGTAACAGCTGTGATAAATCTACAAGTTTTAATCATTACCACTAACCAAATACTTAGTAGAAAGAAACCAACTGTAACAAAATAAACAAATAATAATTCAGCTGTGTCAGAAATAGTCGTTTTTTTTAAAATGTTTTAAACCATTTAAACCTAAAAATTAAAAAAAACTTTATAAATAATAATAATAATAATAATTTACAGAAATGAGGATAAACAATGTATAATTACGCAATTTACTGAATTAATGAATTATTAAAAAAAAAATTAATGTAAAATAAAAAAAATAAATTAAAATATGTGTGTGACGGACACGAGCTCAGGGAAATGCTGAAATCACTTTGTAGTGATTTCAGCCCTGATTTTCAGCTCGACCCGCCCATGGCAGCTCTACGTTGTCGATCACACACACAAATCGCAAACAAACATCAAATATTATTTATCTAATAATAATAATAACAATAATAATAATAAAATGAAATAATAGTTTTAACTTTCTAATTACCGTATCCACGTCTACGGTAATTACATCTAATTACCGATTCCATAAAATATTCTTTGTCTAATGCCATTCAGACATATTGATAGTTAAGCTTAAAGTTGTTCATATTTCAATGTTATACCCAATATGAAGCGAAAAAAAACAATGGCTACGGTAATTAGGCTGAGAACACCGAATGTGAGAATGGCCGGGATAAGTTTTTGATGTCGGGCTTCAATATTGATACCATTTAATACGATCCGTATAAAATTACCTATTTTGCAAAGCACAGTAAAATAGCATTTTTGAATTCCGTCTTGTTCCCGGGACAATGTATTGGTGCCGGTTTCATTGAAAGATAAACGATGCGACGGAACTGTAAATACAAAGCAACAATTATCATCAACCTGTCTACGTGTTATAGCGACGCGCTACATAGCTCAAAATGTACTAGATAGTAACAAAACTTCAGTGATAACTAAATGTGGAGATCCAAGTTTCGCTTTCCGATAATAATAAACTTGTCTAAATTGTTCTAGCCTGAGTATTCTGGGTAATGCCCTGGAGAGAATTCCGTTGTTCTTATGGCTCATAGCACTTGGAATTCCCTGGTTTAAAACCAAATAACTAATGTGGTTATGGCTGAAGTTTCGTTACAACCCAGTACATTGTGAGCAGCGGGCAGAAATGGATTTACTGAACTGCCTGGTTGGCTGAACGGTTACCATGCTAGACTGCCGACGGACCGGGAGAAATTTTCTCACGTAACTAGCTCGGAAATTCTTTCTCGTTAGAAATTTGCGGGCAAAAGCGTTTTTTCCACCCTAGCGTGAAAAAGTTTTGAATTCGAACTTGATGATGGACTGTGGTGCACCTAACTTTTTCTTTCGATGGAAAAAAAACTGTGACACGTTCAACTATGCGATATGTCGTACATTACTTATTTGTGTAATATAAGTCCGTTGGTATATTTTATTCTTATTATTGTTGACATTAAATTGACAACGAAAACTGGGCCGTGTTCTGCATAAATGTGTTAACCCACAGAAAATCTTTAAATGAGTTATGAATGCAGTCTTATACCTTGTAATATAAAGTTTAATGTTCTTTTCTAAAGACAGTAAGTATAACATGCACAGAGAGCCAGCGTCTCTCCATAGGCTAAGGGGCTCCGTAACGTCTGCGAGTTGGATGGAATCAAGTGAGTCAAATCAAATGGTATTTGGGAGCTCCTGCCAAAAGATGCGAGCAATACTCCATGTGGGGCCCTTACTTGTGTTTTATACAACAAAAGTCGGTGACCTGGTGAGAAATACTGCTTCGCTCTATTGAGCACTGCGAGCTTTTTGGTAACCCTGTTTGGCTTTGCCCTCCAAATGACCCCGGAACTGGATTTCGTTCGTGATGTCGAGTCCAAGTATCCCAATAATCTTAGAGGTGGTAAGGAGAAAAGGGTAAAGGTGTTCTGGAACTTAGACGCTATTACAAATGGGTATTTTTTTGCCCCAATTTAACCCCCAAATTTGACAAGATTCTGTCGGCCCCATTGTAAGACCTGCCCCAAAGAAGTCTCGATTTTGTACACAAGTTGCAATCTATTTTGTTCCACTTGCTGGTATATATTTGTGCGACCTGTACAATAGGCATCACTGGTACTGTCATCCGTATAGCAATGAATGTTACTAGTTAATAACATATCATTGATATGTAGAATGAACAAGGTTGGCGAAAACACAGATCCTTGCGGAACGACGGCGTTAATGAGCATGGTGTCCGAGCACAATCCGTCCACAGCTACTCTTAAGCTGTGCTCAGACAGGAAGCTGGCGATCCAAGTGCACAGCCCTTTTGTAAGCCCGTAAGATAGTAGCTTCGATAGAAGTGCCTTGTGCCAGACCCGATCAAAAGCCTTAGCGATGTCTATTAGCTCCTAGCAAAAGCCTTAGCTCACGGCCATTGCTTCCCCCTTGATCTCGATGGCAGCTGCTCATTGGTGCGTGAGATACACAAGAAGATCACCAGCACTACGCCCGCGGCTGTATTAGTAAGAGATGGTTAGTGTGATGATTTTTAATGGAAAGTAATAGTCGAAATCAGGTAAATGGAGCTCTTATGGGTAGCCAGAACGTGTCAAGAAAGTGCGGGTTCATTGGATGTGACAGAAGAAGCGTGAAATTTGGTTAATGCTATTAGTATAAGAGCTTTGAGTAGTATGTGCTCTGTTAGTGCGTTTTCAAATTAAGCGATTATAGAACCGCTACAGTGCGCCACTGTGGCCCTGCAGCCGCGCCACTACGAAAAAGTAATAATTGAGCGTCGTGTAGTGAAAGATTATATGATCAAGTAGAAAGGATGGATGCTAGTAAATTTAAACGTGGGAAGAGGTAGACCCTCGAAGCACATGTCTCGATCAAATCTCGTAAAAGTAACGAATGTTACGTCATGCTGGGAGGTTCCTTTTGAGCACCCCTGATTGTTACTGATCAAAGAAAAAGGGATATTGATTATTGAAAGCAAAACACGTTGACTACTGACAAAAATACAACTACTGTTACTTGGTTTCATGATCACAATGAAAATGTGATGTCTCAGTGTTTGCAAGGATTAAGTGACACTTTATACGTACTTTTCCGTATTTAGCAAAAATGTGTTAACCACACTTGACACTTAAAGTAATAATTTTGTTGATATATCGAATTTCATTTAATTACTAATCATAAATTTGTTAACTTAAAAAAATTATAAACCGATCGTAACGCTTACTTCATTACAAATTTTTCATATATAATTGTCCTGTAAACTTCATTAATTAAATGAGTAATGACAAATAGTTGCCAAAAATCTTGAATGCGCAATATCTCGAAACTGTCATTTTGTGGGTTAACTCATTTATGCAGAACAGGGCACACTAATTTTGTTTATTAAAACTGATTTGTTATAGTTCAACCAGTTTTTCTTTCATCTAGGTGAGGTGAAAAATTGTGTGTTTCGCTCGGCAGTAAAGTTGTTTTGCGTCTCATACCTTGAAATTCTCACTACGCTCAGGATTCTAATTTTGAACCACTCGCTAGGCTCATCAATCTTAGAAGTCATCGCGTGCTCACGTTTCAATACAAGCACTCGTGTCAAACTTTGCAGCCTTGCGTAACAAATAACTGCCTCCATGGCCGAACGGTTACGACTGCCACGCAGAGGCCCCAGGTTCGATTCCCGGGCCGGGAGAAATATTTGTATGGCCTACATTTATTTCTCTCGTGAGTTTGGGTGTAATTTGTGGTTGTCTATGTGTGTGTCCATGGTACCCGCGACACAGGGTATCCCTAGTGCGGGGCTATGTTGAGTGTGTGCGTTATTATTGTGCGTTACTTTTGCACACTGGGACAAATAAAAGAATTTAAGTAAAAAAATTTAAATTTAACAAATTAAAAGACAGGTACAACAGGTGGCCTTTTTGCTATATAGCAATCTCTTTCAGGCAACCTTCGGGTTACAGGAAAACTACGAGATAGTAATTAATTAGCTACCAATAATTTGATGTATTTGGAAAAATATTTAACGTACAGACAAACATACAAACCCTGACAAATGTTACCTACCATCGAGTATATAACCAGAAATAGAGACAAAAATGTCATTCACTTTGTTTAAAAACTATTCTACTAAACCATTACGTCGACAACTGCGCTCCGATTGGCCAACCCGAATTCGAAATGTCGGGTGTCGTCAGTTTTTTTCTTATAACATCAAGTAACGGGAGAAACGAGTCGTGCGCCTGATAGTAAGTTACACGCCTGTCTATAACCGTTGCAGTGCCACACGGAGCTTTAAATAGCAAATCTTAGGGACACTACCACTGCGCCCGTCACCCTGAGACATAAATTGACAAGTCCCATGTGCCTATAATTTCACCAGCACCCTTACCATTCAAAACCGGAACACAGTAATGCTGACATTACTGCTTGGCGGCAGAAATGGGTAAGGTGGCAAAAATTCACTTCAAATCAACCAGTTTAACTTGAGCTTTGCTGTAATGGACGTAAATTTAAAAAATACATATTTAATTATTCATCGGAATGTAATTCCGTTTGTTTTGTAATTAGATGTTTTGCTGTTTTTCCCAAACCACCGAATGGAACAGCCCCCCATTGTCACAGATATTTATTACAACAAATATAGAATATTTTGGAATATACTGAGACGTACACACATGTCAGTTGTTAGCGCTGTACTATATCAGTTTTCTAAGTGGCCCTTATTTCGTCTCTATTTTTGATTATATACTCGATGCCGTCGACACATGAAGCCAAATAAGGAGTTAAAATAATTAATATGATCATAGTGTGGACAGTTTGTTTCCGAATTTGCCTTTTTGGTTCCTTTGATGTGCGTCGAGAAATCGACCAGCGCGCGGTAACGCGAGTTTGGTGTTTGCTGTATTTGTTGGATCATATCAAATCCAAGCAAATACTTTTTCACACATGCTATCACCAGTGATTGTTTTCCATTTATACCAAATACAAATGGCCATGTGAAGTACCGCCATTACATAGACGACGGGTCCAAGCAAGTCGCTTGGACTGCAATAGATATTACAACACTAATTCTGTAATTCGTGTATGTAGGTTACATAAATTGTTTTTAAATTTAATTTAATTTTATTATATCAAGTGACAGGACGAACAAATCGTGTGCCTGATGGTTAGTTACACGCCTGTCCATTACAGTTGCAGTGCAAATCTGACCTTTAAATAGTAAAAATCTGGGGCGCAGTGCCACTAATTTAACCGGTAATTTCACCAGCACCCTTACCCTTCAAAATCGGAACACAGTAATGCTGACATTACTGCTTGGGGCAGAAATAGGTGGCAGTACTTCCGTGGACGAAGTTTTTCACAAGGATCTCTACAGCTACTTAAATAAATTGCTTAAAATTAAAAATCTTTGCATAATTATTATAACAAAGACCGAAAAAATAAAAAATTCATTCGATCCGGCCGGCGAGTCAGAGGCAATCCGTGTCATATGCTCAGCCAATTAAGACGCTGAATACCATTGACTTACAATTATATAGACGTCGGGTCCGCGCTAAAAAGTGTCCGAACTTATAGGGCGTTAAAATCGTATACAGAGTTCATTGACGCTTTAGTCTTCGTTTGTTCGACTGACAGCGAAGCAAGCAAAATTAGACAGTACTGCGATGACATTACAATTTAAATTCAACGTTTTAGCTTTTTCATATTCCTTTACATGTCACTACGTTTAAATAGGTTGACTTGGGACATTTTTTTCGTGGTTTTTGTATTAGATCCGTCGTCCACTTATTTGTAAGTCAATGCTGAATACCGTTAATTATGCTTCTTTTTAAAGCGTTTTTAGGAAGATCTGTTTAACTTGTGGCAGTGGAAAAAATGTGTATTATTCTCCATCATATTATCTAAAATGCTGTTGTCTCCAAAACACGATTTTACAATATTAAGTAGACAAAAAAAATTTCAAAATCACCACTTATTATACGGTTCCAACGCAAATATATCCGTAATATACTAAGTAAATTAAAAAAAAATTTCATAAAATTTTGACGAATAAGGTATAACTCAACAATGAAAACTGTGGTTGTTACATTTTTTCCATTTTGAACCTAATTTTGGAAATAAACCCTTTTTTTGAGACGCGCGCAAACCATTGGTAGTTTCTTCTCTTTTACGCATACAAAGGTCGGCAGCAGTGTTGCCAGGTCTACTGTTTTTTCAGTAGATCTACTGTTTTTGGACGACATCTACCGTTCTATTGTTTTTTAGCAAAAATCTACTGTTTTTTAGGAATTTTCAGATTTTTCACTTTTTGTAACAATTATTGACAGCGTTTTAGATTTTGTGAATCGTCTTTTCCGTTTCCGACGTCGTACTTTATGTTTTCGGAATGACTGTATAGCACATTAAATAAAAAATGTTATAAACTGTTCTTATAAAATTATAATATTGTAAGCTGTACACCCCTCTCGGCTGTGCACCGTCCTTCACCACGATATAAAAGCAGAACGGGTCCAGAGCGAGGCATTCACCTGTCGGCGCCCGCTCGGATATCATCGGTGACGTGAGCCATTTGTTAACGATTTTCTTATGTATTTTGTTACTTGTTACTATTTTGATTCTTATGTGATTTGATTTGATAAAGGGTTGTGAGCAATTGCGTAAGCACGGTAAGACATCTTGTACTAAAAGATACTTCGTTCCTTTAGGCTTAAGAAAACAATAATTTGTAAATTTAATAAAAGTTCGTTAAAATTTTGTTAGATGTTCTCTTTTTTTTTAATTTCGAATCCTTTTTCTAGCTAATTATATAATAAAATAGGTACTTTGTGCACTCCACTGAATGATGTTTTTTTTATTTATTCAATCATTTATTTTTTTATTATTTGTCAATCACAGGTCTAGAAAATGCGGGGAAGTAACATCTATGGTATTATTATCCAAATACAATTGTTATTGTCAGATACCAACATTGTAACATCAAAAACATTATGTGACAATGTTTGAAGAAAATCGATTAAAACTGTTTCAAACACCGTAAGTTCAGCATCTACTGTTTTTTTCCTCAATTTACTGTTTTTTCTGTGCAATATCTTCCGATTGTTTCAGATTTGACCTGGCAACACTGTCGGCAGTGATAGCTGAAACGCGTTGCTGGATGGACCTATGTCGCGCTAGCTAGCTAATTCACTTCACACACATTCAAATGCCACGATCGATCGCTCAAGGTCATCGACGCTTTTCAGCCAATTAAGCCACGCAACGAACCAGTAGACCTTACAAATTTTTCTGTGTTTGTTGCAGATCTTTGTTTGCCGTGGCGCCATCTATCGTTGAGCTTTGAATGATTTCGAAAAAAAGAAATTAGTCTATCACGACATTGCGTTTAAGGGCTAAGATTAAAACTAACGAGAAATATTAGTACCATTCGATCGCCCTAAATTAAACATGAGATCCTTGAACTGATTGCGGTCCACCTTGCCTTTCACACCGGACAACAGCAGCCTCACTTGATCCTCCTTTATGCGAAGAACGTCCATTATGGTTGCTGTTCAGAAAAAAAGACACTTGATGATTATGAATACAAAGATCGAACGCAGAAAAATTGTCGTCGACCCTGTCGGACATGAACCCATATCCATGCTGCACCGTAGCATTGCCCCAAACATCTGAGGCATGGGTCCAGTTACCGAGTCTTCGAAATTCTTCTATGTGTTTTTGTTATAAATCTTTGTATTGGTTTTCGGCATTCGACGCTGGTAGTGGGTAACCTATCACAAACTTGAATTCTTTTTCCGAAATAACGTTTGTTCGAATGTTCATTACACCGAAAATCGAATTATAACGAAACCGTTATTCTTTCAGGATATTTTGGGTGTTTATCGCAAAGACACGATTAAGTTCAGTTAGGTCAGGTTAAGTTAGGTTTAAAAGAAAACCCCCCCGAAGGGGTTCCCGCCTTGTCGTGGCGGGGGGGCTCTAGTAGCCGTGGTCGATTTCATCCCACGGTGAAGCTAAGAGGAACCCATGGGGCCGGCCGATGGTGGTAGGCTGGCCCGAGGAGGAGGGCGTTCCGCGCAGGGCTCGTTTGGCCAGCGGGACCGCGCGGATGCGCGAGGAGGAGGGTCGCGGGGGGAGAGACGTGTCTTGGCGATTGTCAATTGAATCCAAATTTCGCTTCGGTCGAGCGGCAGAACTATACAGGGCGATAAAAAAACCACTGACCAATTTAATTCTTCCTTTGCGGAAGTTGCGGATCCGAGACGGACCTATTTCCGGTTCTTATGGACGGCCAATTAGCTTACGTAAGTTAAGAGTTAAATGAGCATACATATATGTATGATGGAAATAAAAAATATATGTTCGGTTTTTATTTCAAATACTTAACAAATAAGTAAGTTATGTCGTCTTAAAGTTTCCGAAAAATTGTGAACAATATTGACACTCGATGATTAGCTGACGCCGTTGCTATAGCAACAAGAACGGTGTGGGGCAGTGGGCGGAGTCAGTGAGCGAATTCTTGTATTTGACAGACAACAAAGTATTAAACTAACGCGCGATGCGTTAGCGCAGGTCTGTCGTCGCGCGGTGCGAAGTGCTAGCTCCTAGGCGTCTAGACAACTCGGCGCCGCTTCATCAATTTTATTTACTATTTTGAGGTAGCCACGCGTTAGAAATTATTGCGAAATATTAACATCAAAAGAATAGGGTTTTTTTGTTTTATTTCACTAATGTGTTCTATTACTGAATCTTATGCACAGGAAAAAAAATTGTCAGTGATTTTTTTATCACTCTGTATAATACCGCGAGTGTCGAATACTGGCTGTATTTCCGATTTTTTTTACCAACGATATTAATGCCATTGGAAAAATGTATACCGTATAGTATACGTGTACTATTTAGTTCAATTGATATTTTGATATTCAAAAAATCATTGGTATATGTAAAGTATCTATTGAATTCAGAGGTTTTCTTTTAAAATTTCGAGGTAAGTTTGTGTTTTCTTTTCAATAGAGAAAGTTTTTAGGAATTGTGTTTTCACACCACATAGTAATCAGTGTACATCCGCAGTTTTACTGGATCCCCATAGATAGGTACGCCATGTCTCTGCAGCGACCTACCTGAATGCGAAGTCCATTTAAAGACACGGGCAACTTTAAAAAAAAACTGTTCTCAAAAGTTCGTAGAATTACATCTATTTGTCAAGTTTTAATGCGATCGGTTACCGGAAAGTGCGCGAAACCGTATCCGTCCCTTAGTTTGCCACCCTTAGAGGTGGAATGTTTCCTTCAAATTTAAATGGGACCAATACTGAGTACTGACTGTACCCTCTTTCCAATAAAAATTAAGAACTTCTTCAAAATAATCTTTAAGCATTATTACACTTGAAATCGTCATATTGGTTAAACTCTACCGCTCATTCGTAAGGCAGATGATACCCTGAGAAGAATGAGCAAGAAACTCTAGAGGTTGCTCTTTGTAAATAGCATTTGTACACATTCAACATTTACAATATATTTTTTTTGCTTTCAAACAACAGGGATCGAGAATACCATCATGAGCTAAACGGGTTACTACCACGGATTTTCGTCATCCAAGTACGCAGAAGTTATATAACCTTTAGTATAAAGTTTTTGTTTCACTATTACTTTAAATGTGACTTTGTAAAGACAGCTATCAAGAACAGCTAGTTTATTTTTATTCCTCGTATAAATTTTATGTCTGTCACTATTTTTCATAAGGAAATTACTTTTTCTCTTAACATAAATTACATTTTCATAAATGTGTTGTGACGCTAATGTGAATGTTAATTTATAATCTTTTAAACTTTCGCGTTGCATTGTACCTAATATTTGGAAACAAGAATAAACGCTAGGTAAGATAGGTCACGTTTTACGTCAATTCTCCATACCGACAACATAGACTCCGGGCATAAAAGTCGGCAACATGGTGGGTACTCCGAAAGATGTCTTACCACTTCAAACACCAGCCTCTAAAAAATTGATTGCAGTTGCGGTATCAAAGAATTAGCATACATAGCTGTAAAAAATTGACAATGTAACAAGTCAGCTATTGCAGAACATTTACTGGAAAAGGGTACAAATCACTGGATTGAGTTTCATCGTACGCAGATTCTCCCCACTTTTATTCAAGAGTTGTACGTGAAATTATTGAAATCCAAAAACATAATAATTTCAATCGGGGGACGGTTTCAAATTATCAGCATGCAAATGCAGCATGCGCAGCATGGAATCCGGTGTTTGCAAAAACTCAATATTCGCGATCGACTGCGGACCAGAATAGGGACACCGTTAGCATTGGGGGTGGCGGAAAGTAGTAGTTTAAAAAATGTTATGCGGGTGGTTGAAGATTCCACCGCCGATATGGAGATGTAAATCGCATCACCAGTCAACCCGTGACCACAGCCAGAGCAACCTGGCCGAAACGTCGGGAAACTAGGTAGGTGTGAAAAATATCTATTCGTATGTAAACGCGTTTATTCCCGTTTCCAAATGTTATCTTCCTTTTTTAAAGTCGTTTAAAAATATGAAAACTGTCTTAGTTACAATTTCAAACAATAATGGGACGTTACTGTAGATCAGGTATGGGCAACCTTTAACATGTTGAGGGCCAAACTTTAGTATGCAAATAGGTTCGCGGGCCGCGTTTAAAAGTGCTTAGTGCATTTTAAAGTAATTAGTGTCAATAGATGTCAGACATAAAATAATATCACAATGTTATTCTAGTACTAGTACAATTTATTTAAAAAATGAATTTTAAAAAAATGGTACAACATCATATCGGTAAATCGATAAATTTGCAATTGCTACAAACTACGAAAGTCAATCAATGAGACACTTGAGCTTGAATTTGGGAAACTAATCCATCGATATTTGGATTAATTCCACTGATACAAACACGTAAAGAATGAGAGAGAGAAAGTTCAAAATTATCGTCAGTCAGTCTTGTACGATGTGTTGATTAATTAATTTTCATCATCGAAAAGAACTGTTCGCATTTATAAGTACTGCCAAAAGCACAAATCAATCTTCTTGCGAATTTTCAGCTGCGGAAAATTGTCTTCTTCTAGGTATTTTTTGTAGAAATCGCACAACTCTACTTCTTCTGAAATGATGAATGAAACATTTGTTGGTTTCTCCAAATTTGCTGTAAGCTTCTGGATTTTGTCTGTTCTTAATTCTCCTGTCAGTGAGTGTAGCGCAGTATGCTTAGTTAAGTAATGCCTCTTTATATTGAATGCTTTCATTACTGAAATGGATTCATTACACAGCAAACAAATAGGCTTACCATTGTGTAAAATAAAAAAGAATTCTTCAGTCCATTTTTCTTGAAACTGGCGTCCCTCAGTATCTACTTTTCGTTTTTTTCCACCAGACATCATTTTTGTTAACTTTTCGTTCTTTAAACTTAATAACAATACAAACTATAGTTAGTACACAACCACTCAAGATGCACACAAAGTTCACGGCTCAAACAGTTCGCTAGAATATCGCTTGTCGAAGTTATCACCTCGGTAGCTCGAATAGAACTGCACAAATGTTCGGGCCATACACCCGCTTATATAGGCAAAATGAAGGAATATTCTGGAATAAACTAGTTTTAGAATAATTGAGAAGCAATAAGTCTTTGATGTTTGCCGCCCGTGAGGCGTCGGGCGGCAAACATCAAAGACTTTGATCGAGTAAGCCGAGTGACGGCGATTATCAAAGAGTGAGGCGGCAAACATCAAAGGATTAGATGTTTGGGGCTTCACTGTCGCTGTGAGTGTAAGTACCTAGTTTAATATTTTTTCATTGAGTTTTTTTTTTTCAAAATGTCTCGCGGGCCGGATTATATCTTACAGCGGGCCGGATGCGGCTCGCGGGCCGCATGTTGCCCATATGTGCGTGTAGATGGTCTAATTATTTTTAATACTTACAATCCTTCAGAAATTGAACAATGCCGTCCACATTGGTTTTGCCGTCACCCGAAAGTTTTTCATACATAACGTCTATGATTTTACCTGGAAAGTTAAAGATTAAACAACTTGTATTTATTGAGATTTTTTGTGCAATAACTTCACTACTTTTGTTGTTATTGTGAATACAAACGGATGCAAACTTACAAAGATCTATAACAAAAACACATAGGACAATTTCTACGACTCGTCGTGACTCAGATGGTTAAATCAATGCTACAGTGCAGCATGGACATCATACAAAACTGAGGGCACGCTTTCTTGGGCCTACACATTCGGTGTTTAGCGTTTTAGGAGGCAAGAATATTATGATAAATCGTTTGAGTGTCGACGCGGCCGTACGGTCGTCGTCGGTTGCATTCGGACGCTATCAAAAATTACAGTCAACTTAGTCATCAGTTTACTTACCAGTTTCAGATAAATTGTGAAAGTACCTCTCAGCAGCAGCTTCCCTCTCCCTATCTGACTGCCACTTTGGAATATGTAGAGTACCTATGGAGTAATTTATATAGAAATATACTGTTATATTTTTTGTGAAAATACTCCACCATTGTACGATGAATCATAATCAGATGTCCAAAACGTAAACAAATGGAAACCTTGTTAAAAAATACATTTTAAACCATTGACATACAATTATATGGACGTCGGGTCCGCGCTAAAAAGTGTCCGAACTTATAGGGCGTTAAAATCGTATACAGAGCGTCATTCACGCTTTAGTCTTCGTTTGTTCGACTGACAGCGAAGCAAGCAAAATTAGACAGTACTGCGATGACATTACAATTTAAATTCAACGTTTTAGCTTTTTCATATTCCTTTACATGTCACTACGTTTAAATAGGTTGACTTGGGACATTTTTTTCGTGGTTTTTGTATTAGACCCGTCGTCCATTTATTTGTAAGTCAATGTTTTAAACGGTAGTTTTCTTTTTTATAGTTTTTTTTTGACGATATAGTAATCGATTAAAACTCTTTTCAAGCTGCAATTCGAAAAAACTTAGAACAATTGTCCTTGTGAAACAGTTCGTCTTATATTATTTTATGAAGTCAAGCTAGATAGATCAGTTCGATAGCCGCACGGAAGAAAAAACAATCTTGGCTTAACCCTCGATTACTATGAGAACCGTTTCGCCAAAATTCACACATTCGTAATTAGAAACACTACAAAATCTTGATATTGATTGGTCGTAGTTTCAAATTTAAAAAGAAATAACAAATTCTGGATCGTTAATATAATTTAAACTTTATCCTGTTGGCGTATCGTTCAAAGTTCAATACCATCAATACCTATTATTGCAAGTTACGACGTTTTCATATTATATTGAAATTTCAAACAATGTACTGCCATCTAGTGGTCATTTGCTGAACGACGACGAATTTGAGTTATTAATTTAGTTCTCCAAAAAAGAAGCGACTATATTGAAAGGGTATAAGCTTTACTTTCGTTTCTTGTAAAATTGAAAATTTATAAAAATAAGACTTCCGATGATATGAAATACCACCACGGGTAATATTTTTGGTGTTGCCATCATTTTTGTGCTCCAAAACAGCACAATAAGGCATTTTTCCAGGATGTTAGAGAATTTGCACGAAAGAATGACACAACCATACCATACAAAGCGAAAATGGCGGACTAGGCTCAGATAGGTCTCAAATATAGTGTATGATCTATGGATAGGTCTTTCGAGACCTATAGACCTACTAACCACTTCTACTTTATTTGTTGTTCTGTGGGTAGCCGCCCCACCGACCCGAATACTTTATTCACACAGCGCATCGGCTACTCGTTCTCACTCGGCAATATGCAACAAGGTGCACTTTGTCGGTTGATTCGGCGATCTTCGGAGCACGCTCGAGCCGCGGTCGTGCAGTGAGTTATTTTACCTTAGTTGCGGACATCCTCGTTTTATGTGTTTTTTAGAAACATAATATTGAAAGAAAGTTCCTAATAAAATTCTCCAGGCTAGAGAAAGTTAGAAAATTGAGAAAAATCCATAAAAACCGAATTTTTTCCTTTCCCGTAAATGATTTTTCTTTAAATGTTTCATGTTATGATAGAAAACTACTAAAGGCACCAATAAATCCAAAAAAATATCAAGCTTTCCTAGACCACAATCAATTTTTTTTTATGACTTCGTTATTTTTTTTCTGAAGAATTTCTACATATTAGCACGTTTTTTTAACGCGGATTTGTTAATTACAGTAATAAATACTACCATAAAAAAATCCAGATGCGACAAACACAAGAGATCAGAAATATTGAATTTTAAATTTTGGGTTAGGGTTGTCACTGAATATTTATCCTGTCTGCAAAGTGCAATGTTTTATATTCATTGAGTGTAGCACATTACCAATAGGTATGTTATCGGAACAAGCCGGTGAATCAAGGAACAAGTTTTGACGTTATTATCGAGAGCACCTTACACGAAAGCTGGATTGGAAAACGACCATCACAGAGTTGTTTTACCGTGCACTGGGATCGCCTGATCCTTATTTATCCTCTTGGCACGTAGTACACAAACATAAAAAACTCTACCTATACCTGGTAAATTCTTCGCCTTCTAAGAGTGATCACGGAAAATGTTCGTTACCATCATTACCCAACAGAAGACATTAGTATTGAAGCTGCTGATATCACGCCAGCAACATACGAAATCATTCTGCAATCCGATAATGAGGAAAATGAATGAGCTTTCAGCATTTGCCAGAATAATTTATCTTTATTCACACGACGTAATGCACATACGTGAATATTAACAAGATATGCCAATCTATGTAACGTACATTGTTTTAAATTATGTTTGACATAATTACTTCAATTTAATTTATTTCACCTGATTTTAAATGTAAGTAATGTAAATTAAAAATTCAATTAATGTAATTAATAATTAATTCATGGGCTATGTTATCTGAACCACATAAAGGAATTTGAATTGTTGTGGGCTACCAAAGCTCCTACATGTATGAATAAAATTTTATATTTACAAACACTAAAATAAGTTCACGTCTTTGTATCTACTACCACATACAAGTCTATTCATATTCGAAATAAATATATTATTATTGTTGTTGTTTTAACACATGACCCTCCATTGATCCACGTAGTTGTGTAAAAATTATACAGTTTGTGACAACCCTATTTCCATAGAAATCTAAAAAAACCTTAGAAAAGCGGATCCAAGATCTTTCGAGATAAACGTTTACTTTTTCTTTATTCGATAGATACATTAATGTAGTATATTTTGAAGGTAAAAAAATGCTAATTTAGTATGGTTAATTTTATATAAATATATTTTTAAAATTAACAAAATATTATTTTCTCCCTTTTTTTTGTGGGCTTAAGGACTTACGATTTTCACATTTAATAAAGTTTAAATAGACAGTCAATTTGTATTTCTTGCTAATGGAAATTTTACATATTTCGGGAAATACAGGCAAAAACATTTTTCCTGAAGTTCAGTGATCTTTCCATAATAAAAGTAGATATCTATACGGGTGTTTCTTAGTACAGTTTATTAGGATTCAACCTATTGAAATCGAACATAAAACGGGGATGTCTGCAACTAAAGTAACATAACACATTGTGGGTCGGCCGGGCGATCGTGTCAAACTTGGTGAATCGTTGGTTCGAGTTCGAGTACTCGCGACTCGCGATTGCTCTACCCTTTAAGTCGGTAGCAATGTCCGGACATTGTCGCAGGACACTGCTACTTGACATCTCCGGCACTACCCCGGAGAGCTAGACATCTCTCGGTCCCTCCGGCTGCGTAGGAATTTTCCGAACATGTTTTTAGGTCAAATTATGTTACAAATATTTGGTACATAAATATAATCAACATTTGCGTAGTTTTAGAAACAAGAATCTAAATTTAATTTTTAACGCTCATTTGTCTTAGTTTTGAAGCCCAACATAAAACTATCAAACTTAATTTATACAAATCAAACATTTTTTGCGTAGCTCCGTACAGATTGAAATATCCATCGATTTAATATATTTTATGTCTCAGCGAAAGAGAATCAATCATTAAAAAAGATGACCGTTTAGATTTTTTACCTGCTGCTTTTGCAAACTTAAAAAGATCATTAAAATACAGGCCATTTATAATGAACTGACTTGTGACCTGGTCTCAAACTAGGACAATCCCTATGCTATAAATCTAGAGAAATAGAATTCTCTCCGGAACCTAGTACACCCAGATTGTTTAATGATGACCTAGGTGGCCCAACGGTCTGTCCTGTGGGCGCTAAATGAGGAGGTCCCGGTTCCGATTCCCAGTAGGACTAATTTGGATAATAAACTCGTCTAAATTGTTCTAGCCTGGGTGTTCTGGGTAATGTCCTGGAGAGAATTCCATTGTTTTGATGACTTGGAATTCCCTGGTTTGAATCCAAGTAACTAATGTGGTTATGGCTAAAGTTTATTTTCCAAATTGGTCCTATCGGAAAGCGAAACTGGGATCTCCACACTTAGCGATCACTGAAGTTTCATTACATCCAGTACATTTTGAGAAGCGGGCAGAAATGAATTTACATAGCCTCCATGACCGAACGGTTATCATGCTGGACTGCCACGCGGAGGTCCGGGAGAAATATTTTGTCTTAATTAACTCGGAAAGACTTTCTTTCTCATTAGAAAACTGCACGTGGAAAAGGTCTAAAACTTGACGATGGACTGTGGTGCACCTAACTTTTTCTTTCGATGAAAAAAAAAACATAATGATACGTTCAACTACGCGATTTGCCGTAAATTATTTATGTAATATAAATCCGTTGGTATTATATTTTATTCTTATTACTGTTGATATTAAATTGACAAAGATAACTAATTTTGTTTATTAAAACTGATTTGTTATAGTTCAACTGTTTTTCTTTCATCTACAAAAATGTCTTCGCTATAGTGAGGTGAACAGTTGTGTGTTTCGCTCGGCAGCAAAGTTGTTTTGCGTCTCGTGGCTTGAAATCCTCACTACGCTCAGGCCACTCGCTTGGCTCATGGTTCAATCTTAGAAGTCATCGCTTGCTCCGGTTTCAATACAAGCCCTCGCGTCAAATAACAACTTTGCAGCCTTAGCATAACAAATAACTATTGTGTGGCGTACACTTATTTCTCTCGTGAGTTTGGGTGTAATTTATAGTTGTTTATGTGTGTTCTTTTTTTGTGGGTTGGTTTTTTGCAAACATTTTCGAGCTTGTTTGACAAAATATCAAACAGATGGGCAGCTTTAGTCAGGCCTACTTAATAAGCTTCAAAAAGCAACAAATATCTTACTTGAGACCTTTGATTTCAGACGATCTTCTATGATCTGCTCGTTTCTGTAACAAATGTTAATGGTTACTGTGCTATTGGTTTGTGAACTAGCTATTTAAAGTATTAGTGAATTAACCTCTGGTCGAGAAATATGCATTCTAAACGTTAAAATAAAATCCTTGATAAGAAACCTGACATTTGTAAAACTGCGTCATTTTATTCTCGTGTCAGTCTATTAACAATGTATTTTTTACGTGTGAGGGTTGTTAACCCGCCGCACAACCCCAGAAATACTAGCTGGCCACACCCGTCACTAGTCAGCAGCGAGTCCATAGTCCTTCTCGATGCCTTAGACAGTTTGCAGCGTCGCGCCTCACAAGTCATTGGCGATGACGAGGTCTCAATCAAAGTAGAGGTTCAATTAGAGTAGAGACGTTGCATCACTTAGCACCTTTTATAGGATGTACCATGGCAAGTTCTCTGAAGAACTGTTCAACGTTATCCCGTCCTCCCCTTTCCTGATCCGAAGCACGCGTGCTGGCCCCCGCAGTCACCGTTTTACAAACCTTGTAGTGTTTGGTGGCACATTCCTCTGTCGCACAGTTGACAAATGGAACTCCCTTCCCGGGCACGTATTCCCTCTGTCTGGGGTCCTTCAAATGAGGCGTGAAGAGGCATCTTGTAGGCATGTGGATGTGGCTAGGGCAGTGATGGTATCAACACTGCACTAGATTCCTTCACGTTTGGACTCCATTTTACATCAGGTGGAATGGAGTCATCTGCCAGTCATATATAAAAGAAAATACTTTATCGGATAGGGTAGCTAGGCTGTTACCGACTGCTTTCCCATCCACCACCTGGGATCCAACTATGCCTTCCCTCAGGGAACACCTTTACCGTGTACGTAGGACCCGTCGGCCTAAGGGAAGTCCTAAATGACTGATCACCCTATCAGTCTCGCCACTTTGAAGGCTAACCAGATCGCAAATCAGTCCATCACCACACGCACCAACTATCCTCGCCGGCGTGATCGTAGAGCCCCTCATTTCAGCTCGTACACTAGTAGATTCTCGCCGACAGCACGCCCTTCTAGCGAAAGTTCTCAGTAGTGCCCAGAGCCAAGGTCCATGCCCACTTGGTTTTAAGTTTAATTTTTAGTTTATTTTACGGTTTACGAGCCTTCAGCTCGCTCCCTTATTACCGGTTGCGCAGTCAAGGCCATCAGCGGCCGACTGCAAAATCTTCTTCACAAAAAAACCGCCACCCGGGAGACCCCCTCTACGCCATGACAGCCAGCACGAGGCCCTCACGGCACTAATTATTATAGTAGGAGAACTAAGATTCGGGTCTATTAGACAAGTCATGATGCGAAGCCTAGACGCTGACGTTGAAGAAGGAGAACAAGCTATTAGTGGTGGGGAGGAAAATCTTTAGGAAGATTCTGGGACCAACTAGGGAAGAAGATTTAGCCTGGCGGATAAGGAAAAATCTAGAGATTGAGGATCTGGTAAACGAGACTAACATCATGGGAGAGACCAAATCAGCCCGACTTCGATGGCTTGGCTATGCCGAGAGCTTGGGTGAAGATCATGAAATCAAGAGAGCATATCTAGGGCAACTAACTGGGAGAAGGTCGGTTGGACGTCCTTGATATCGCTGGATCGACCAAGTCCACAAAGACCTGTGTTAAATTCAAATGGCCGATTGACAACAAGCGACATAGAAGAGAGAAGAGCAGAGCATCTTAGTGTCAGAGGCCAAGATCCACTTTGGATTGCTGAGCCAGTGAAGTAAGTCATTTTATTCAAGTTAAAAAAAACCACCGTGTGTATATATGTATAGATAGGTGTATAAATGTACTAATTACCATGTTAAAGTAAATAAAACACAAGGAATCACATACCACGCGTAAGTTAGCAAAAATGTTAATTTAGTTAGCAAAAAAACATTATTGCTGTTTTTTACTTATTTTTATTCTTATTAGAATAAACGTTATATTTATTAAGAGGGAGCAGAGGAAAAAATCCTAATCTTCGATTTGATTTTAGAGGGGTATATCTACTTTAAAGTTAAAAATAAAATACTGTATGAGTAACTACACGATATATTCAAGCATAGACATTAATCAGAAACATAAAACAATAAAGTTTCCTCGATAGATAAAAATCACGAAATGACCTCTAATTTTCACATTTTTTTGTTTTATCCTCGAAATGCTACAGGTTATTAGGACAAAAATTAGATAATTAATTATATTTATGCATAATCGACAACTGTCACTTCTGATTTTTTTTAATCCCTTTAGGGTTATTCCGCTAAAACGAATTCGGTACTTTCAATGCGCAAAATTCAACATCTCCTGTCGCATGTCACGCGAACTTCAGGCATATATTTGTTTCACAAATTTGGGCGGAGCCAACGTCAAAACTTTTTTGGCATGAGAGCTCTTAATAACAGCTGACATAACAAATTATTTAAGTAACGAGTGCGATGAGGATCTGGTCATAGATTATAAGTACAAATACGAACATTGTAGGCAGTGAAGTCATTAATTACCTACTCTATATTTTTCTTTTCTTGATCTATATTATTTGCTCTACATAAAAGGTACAAATTTCAAACTATGTTTTTTTTCTTAATAAAATTATTACCTTTGTAACAATGTGTTTACTTTTTACCTACTGTTCGATATGTTCATTCTGTTTGACAAAATCATAATCTATGACCCGGCAATGCACTTGACGCGAAAACTTTAAAAGAAATTGCTATAAAATGACAGTTTACAAACGTCGATTATTATGAACATAACATATTGATTAAAAGATATTGATGACTGGTAAATGTGTACAAGCTGAAAAGTAAGGAATAGTACCTATTATACGTACATTTTCTGGCTCTGTGCTACCAAAAAGAGCACAGCTCTGAACTGGGACAGTGTCACATTTTGAGAATCGGGAGCGCTGTTTGCGAAGTACTTTCTGGTGGTGCCTTCATCTGCGTCGGACGTCACTCCAGCTGAATAGTTTAATATATTTATAGAAACTTTTTTAAATATGCTACGAGGCATTTTTATGTCTATGTA